GGAGAGGTCTCTGACAGCCGACTTTCCCAATGCAATTCATCGTTTAATTTCTTGGCAGCTGGTATCAAGAGTGTTGATTGTAGAGCCAAGCAAACTGAACCTGTCAACAATCTCAATCCCTTCACCATGTATCATGATGCTGCCAATTGGCCCAGTGGTGAGAATCTTTGTTTTCTTGATGCTGAGCTTCAATCCATATTGAAGGTTGCAGCCCTTGACCTTCTGCAGTAAGTGCATCAGGTCTTCCTCAGTTTCAGGTTAGTTCTGAACCTTAAACCAAACCTTAAAGAGGTAAATCCTTGCTCCTTGGAGGTAAGGATTTTGGATTTGGGTGTTTTGGGGTTTTTTTTGTGTGCACCAAAATCCTTACCTCCAAGGAGCAAGGATTTACCTCTTTAAGACAGACCTGTTCGTTCTCTTGTCAGTCCATGGTATATATGTTTAATACTCTTCTCCAGCACCACAACTCAAAGGCATCAATTCTTCATCTATCATCTTTAGTTACTGTCCAGCTCTCTGATGCACAGCAAGTAATTGCAAAGACCATTGTCTATCGGGCACACCTTAGTCTCTAGACTGACATCCTTGCTCCTTGCTCTTCAGCACTCTGGAGAAGCCCCTAACAGCAGATTTTCCTAATACAATTGATCTTTTTATTACTGACTGCTGGTGCCATTATTAATCCCATTTACAGCTAAGGGAATTGAGATGCTGGAAAACGATGTCATTTGGTTTAAGGTTCAGAACTAACCTGTGGCAGAGTCAGGATTTGAACAAGGTTCTTAGCAACAGCTCATACTGGGAAGGATGAGTCAATTGTTTTTATATGGATTTAACCTCAGCTGACTCTTAGAAGAATGGGAATCTCAGAACACTTGATTGTGTTTATGCCTATACATGGACTAGGAGGCAGTCGTTAGAACAGAGCATGGTTCAAAATTGGGAAGGGTGTGTGTCAAGGATGTGTCCTATCTCCATATCTTTTCAATCTGTATGCAGAACAAATTATCCGGGAGGCTGGGCTCTATGAGAAGTGTGGCATCAAGATTGGAGGTAGACTCATCAACCATTATGTGTTATGCAGATGACACAACTCTGTTTGCTGAAACTGAGGAAGACCTGATGCACTTCCTGCAGAAGGTCAAGGGCTGCAGCCTTCAATATGGATTGAAGCTCAACATCAAGAAAACAAAGATTCTCACCACTGGGCCAATTGGCAGCATCATGATACATGGTGAAGGGATTGAGATTGTTGACAGGTTCAGTTTGCTTGGCTCTACAATCAACACTCATGATACCAGCTGCCAAGAAATTAAACGATGAATTGCAT